TCTTTCATCTTTAATTTGTATATTATGAAAAATAAAAACAATTGAATCAATAAGAATAATATAGTTCTCTGTGTGGCTGATGCCTAGAATGTCAGGACTAGGAATGCAACTTCATTCCCAAGGTCACTTAAGGCTCATTTGAAGCATACACACAACCCTTTTTTTTTTTGTATTACTGCAATCACACCTCTGAGGATCAAACCCAACATTACTGTTGGTGATGCTACTGGAAAGTGAACGAGTTGACCACAGCTGTGCAGGAGATTAAGTGTGGTGTGAAATAACAAAGCAAGTAAACAAGATGTGAACAGCTTGACTGTTTCTCTGTCAAACTCTACCAGTCAACATTAAACCCTCGTTTAGTTTGGCTGCTGGTTGAATCAAGACATGGAGTAGATATAAACAGTGAGTGTGTATACCATGAAAAATGTTTAAGAACTATAATGAGCATTCGCAACTATTTTGTTCCTACAACTAAAAAAGGGATACTTTCAACACCAATAAATATTTCAGTGTAGCAACCTAATATTACACAGTTTTGATTTAGGGATAAACTTAATATTCTGCACTTAACACGTAAGACAGCGCCTCCTTTCTCTATCTTGTCAAACATATCCCCTTACGGCAAGGGAACAGTGACATATAGCTATGTCACTGTTTCTGACTCTTAAGCAAATGGAGACCCATGCCATGTAGCACATAGAATTATTTCGGGGTATAACTCCCCACAGCCCAAGCTGGCATGGCCAATGGTGAGGGACGCAGCTCTGCAGAATTGAGGGGCCACTGCAGTGGCTGAGTACTCAGCAACGAGAAACAGTGACTTTACATATCATTGCTAAGCTATAAGTCATGGTTTACAAACCACAGTGATATAGTACACACATTGTACTCAGCCTTAAAGTGACTTCTGCCATTCTGGTTTAAGCCATTAGAGCTTGTTTGATAAACCAGGTTTAAACAAGTACTGGCTTAGTGTAGAAATTGGTAACATGTAATTGTCCCAAATCAACACTATAGCTTTCTACCATTTTGGGGAGGGGGGAACACATGAAAGCTACAGTGTAACCCCTAAAACAGTGCTTGCACAACAACAACAACAAAAATCTCAAACCACTGTAAAGGACAGAAGGAATGGCCTTCAGGGACAACAGGAAGAGCCACTACCAAGCCAACAGTCAGATAAAAGAGGACAGAGTCCAGGGCAGGAATGGAACCTGACTAAACGTTTCAGATAAGACCCTCTCTAGTTCTCATAAAAATAAAGGGAGGGAGGAGGGAAGCGCATTCAGACTTTCAAGATTCTGCTACTATAGCTTTACAATAAAAGTAGTAGTGACCTAGTCTGATCTACTCTGAAGAGCTGACAACCACAGACAACCCAAAAACTGGGAAAAGAAATGGAAAATTCTGACCCTTTCCACATGCACAAGGCATGCGTATCCATTTGGCATCATTGCCAGAGCCACTGCAGCCTTTGACCTCATCAAAGGTATTAAAGGTAGCCAATGACAATCAAAAATTGCCTATTACTGGCTTAGCATCGTGTGTAAATCCAGCCCCTGCACCAGGGGAGCTTCTCCAAGTACTATACCAACACAATTGTAATTGTGTCTATATTTATCTTTAAGTAAGCTTCAACTGATAACCAACAGTGCTTATTATAAATAATATCTATTTAGGACTATGGCATTAAAAACCACAGGTGGCACCCCCATGCTGACCTAGGGAGCTCTCAGAGGCTAAACAAGGCCAGCTTTGTCCTTGGACAGAGGACGACTTGGGAATCCCAGAGCTGCAGATCAGAAACTATCCATGAGAAGGCAAAGGCAAATAACTTCTGCAAAGCTGCCAAGAAAACTGCATGGATGTCAAGCACAACTCAAGAGCATCTCTGCCTTCTATAAAAACCGTAACAACAGTTAACAACCCTAACAATCCATCTGTCCCTGTATTATTGGACTCTTTACAGAAACAATATACATACATATATGGGTTAAATCATGATCAAATTAAATCCTGTTCAAAAAGCTACTTTGCACAATGGGTTTCAAGAGCTCTTGGACCACTATTTCAAAAAGCATTTGCTTTGTGGCAGGGAAGCAGGTACTATTCAACATCAAAAATCCTTGTGCTGCGGGACTGCTTTCTAAGTTATTTGGATCCTAAAATTATAGTATATAAACTTGTTCATGAAAAAAAGATGGCAGGCAGGCAGGCAGGCTCAGTCTTGCTGAAAGATAGAACCTGAAATGGCCAAGTTTCATATTTTTGTATCAAAATATGCAAAAAGCCCAGGACAAAGAATGGAGGAAAGAAAAAAGACAGCTTTTCAATATTACACAGGGCTAAATGGTGGGAGTCTAATAGTTTAGATACCTCATTCCTTTCCTAGATAACTTAATATTATACTAATTTAAATAAAGGAACAGAGACTGACCCCAGACAACAGAGTAACCAGGTCTAGTTTAATGCATGACAGCCTGCATTACATTCCTAAGTTAGTAAGAATTTATTAAGTGTTGTGGTATACAGGGCCTACTGAAGTAGAACTGATCAGTTTCAAAGAATATTTTCAGTAAGCTTCAAACTCAAGGGACTGAGAGGTGTAAATTTCAAAGATTCTTTCATATGAAAGAAAGACTTTCCACAGAACAAATTAGGGGCCTAATGATATTTCTTACTGAAGTATCTGTACAAGGCCAACTAATATTTCCAAACATACACACCCTAACTTGATCCTGAAAATGTTTCCCTCTTGACAAAAAATATAGAAGTTATACCCTTGTTCCCAAATACATTTGGGGCACACGATCAGGGCAAATGACCATATGCTAAATCCAATTCTCTTGGTTCCACGCACAAGGTGGAAAGTATACTTGTTCTTTCAAGTATGACATCGCGCTGGAAGAATTCCACCCGCAGCCCTCTCTCTCTTTCCCCCCTCCGCCCCCGACCGCGCCATCTGTGCTCTCAGGCTATGATTCCTGCATGTGACATGCGTGCAGGTGGTAAGTGGTACAGACCTATTTACATGTAGCACTGGATTAGGCATGCAGCTAAATTATTGCACTTCATGCAAATAAGCCTTGAAGAACCACCTGAATTAGCAGTTCATTGCTTGCTTAAGGGATAAATGCTTTTGAATGGCATGCTAGCTAACTAGCTATTAACTCAATGAGTGTAATAATGGCTGTTTTTGTATAATTTCCATCTTATGCCCTCCTAGAATTATGTTCCAATATGAATCTACCTTCCTTTAAACCAACCTATTTCTTACTGACTTGGTCATACCGATTAAAATAGAGCCAATTAACCCAATAATGTAAAAATTAAAATGACACCACTGAAAGGAAAAAAAAATGTCTATTCATGCAACCCCTGCTAACATGCCATGCTGGGAGCAGTGATTTCACCTAGCAGAGAAACAGTTTAGAAGGGGAGCATTTGGTACTTAGATCAGCTTCTAAGGAAACCATGAATACCTGCAAGCATGTAGAGACCTCAGCTTTTAGAGGAATCCAACTCTGTAATGTTACCAGTGCCCTGGGACATTTACAGTTCTGAATGCAGAAATCATTTTTAAGATAATTGCATTCAATTAGAGACCACATGAAAAGGAAAAAAAGGATGAAGATTTAACCACAGAGTCATGTACCAGGAAGTGTGTGTTGACAGAGAGGGAGGGGGTGTTTCTGTCCTTTAGCATTTTTTTTTCCAGAATGAATTTTCCAACCAGAACAATAAAGGATCAAATGTAGAACGTTAGTTTTCATTTTCAATACAAAAAGAAGTTATTTTAAAAAATACT